ACTCTAAGACTGTTTCTCTGTTTATAGGATTTATCACAGTCACTGCATTTGTAAGGTTTCTCTCCTGTATGAATTCTCTGATGAGTTCTAAGATGGTTTTGCTGACGAAAGGATTTGCCACATTCACTATATTTGTAAGTATTCTCTCCAGAAAGTATTCTGCAATGTCTTTTAAATTCTGATGTCTTGTAAAAACACTTAGGACAGTCTGTACATTCGTTGGGTTTTTCTCCACAATGGAAATTGCAATGTACTTTGAATTGTGACAAATGTGTAAAGGATTTACTACATTTAGTACATTTATAAGGTTTCTGTCTACTATGAGCTCTCTGATGTTTACTAAGGCTTGAGTCTGTCTTGAAGCAGTTTCCACATTTCCCGCTTTCGTGTGGTTTCTTTTCACTATTGGTACGTTTCAGTGTGAGTCCATGTTCAGAATCAAAAGATTTATCAAGCTTTGTATTTTTGTGTTCTTTCTTTCCTGTGTGGATTCTTTGATTTTTACCTGGAAAATTGTCACAATGAAGGAAAACAGGGATTAAAGCATGAGTCAGAGATTTAATGACTGATTATCTTAAGTTTTCTATCACATATAAACTTCTAATTCTCAGGGATAGAGTTCTCTACAGAGGTCTATTCTGTCTCACATCATTACATGGATGCTCCAGTCTGACCTATGTCAAACCAAAAGGACCGATAGTGGCCTTCTCCTTCATATCTAAACTGTGTACCTTGCAGAACACAAGACAAATAAGTGATCAAGCAATAATTAGAGGAGCTCCCTGAAGGATCATATGAATAATGTTTTATCTATTTTCCTGTATGTATTTGAGACACAGCCAGACTGGACAGCTTTGGACAGCTAGGAACACATTATGCAACCCAGGTAGGGATGGAACACACATATCCTTTTGCTTCTGCATCACTACTGCTAGCATTAAAATCATGCTTTCTCATGACTCAACATAAAGAATACATCTCAAAAACTGAATAAACAAAACAAACAAAAACCCATGCTAACTACCAAAAGCTCAATATTTATTTGAAACCTCCTGAACTGTAAAAATCAGAAACAGCTGAATAGTTAAATTCAACAGTAAAATCAAACTATTCAAATTGTTGTGTGTAATGCAATATATTTCCATGTTCTGAACAGTCAATCTTCTTTGAACTATGAAGTTTTCTTTAAAAACTAGAGGAGTGCTGGAGAAATCACTCAGAATATAGCATTTTTTTTTAAATTAAGGATTTTTTTTTTTAAATCTCACTCACATTTTTTATTTATTATGTATACAGTGTTCTGTCTGCATTCGTCCCTGCAGACCAGAAGAGGGCACCAGATCTCATTACAGATGGTTGTGAGCCACCATGTGGTTGCTGGGAATTGAACTCAGGACCTTTGGAAGAGCAGCCAGTGCTCTTAACCTCTGAGCCATCTCTCCAGCCCCAAATATAGCATTGTTTATGCTTCTATGCAGCACAGAAAAATGTAAAGGAAGGCACCATGAAAGAACTATGCTGATAACCAGAATTTCCCTTATTTCTGGGAGTGTCTAGAAAGTTCAGAGAGATTACATATAAATAAAGCAAGTAAATGAAAAGGATGAATCACAAATTCTATAGAAGAGCATTCTTACCTAGAAAGACGAGATTGTTGTAATTCTCCAACATTACATCCATGTACAATGCCTTTTGAGCACAATCTAGACATTCCCATTCCTCCTGTGAGAGGTCCACAGCCACTTCCCTGAATGATAACAGACTCTGTAATGGGAAGTTACATATATATCATGTGCTGCTGAACAAAATGCTTTCCTAGGTAAAAGAGACTAAAGAATTAGACACTTCAGTGATGTAGATGAGGTATGGCAGTTGTTCAAAGACAAAGTTTTCTAGCAGGGCTGTAGGAATGTGTTAGAAGTTAACCACTGCTTCTCTTTCATAAACAATTTAATGAAAGATTTATTACATTGCTTCCATTCTTAAGGTCTCTATCCTTCATGAATTTGCTGATATTTTCTAAGACCTGAGCAGCAGATAAAGGATTTGCCACAATAGCTACATTTAAAAATGGAATCTGCTGTTTGGATTCTATAATGACTTTTAATGTCCTTTAAAATGTATTTTGGTTCACAGCGCCCTTGTGGCACTATACAGGTTTTAACCCCAATTCCATGGGATCCCATGCTCACTTCTGAACTATACAGACAGAAGGTATACACAGTACACAATCATATGTTCAGGCAACAACACCCGTGTACATAAAACAAAACTGAAATTTAATTATAGTAAAACAGTAAAATGGTCATAGTCTGCACTGTATTTCCTGTCTCTATAAAATGAGGATGACAGTAATAGTATCACAGTCAGCAAACTTTTAGGGAATATAACACACATGTGAGTACTACATGCAGAAATTTACCTTTATGGAGTACGTGTTAATATCAAATAGGATCCCTAGGTCAATCTCAGATGGTTAACTATGATGAGCAAAACTGAAATGTGCTTCCAAATTCTACAACTGTTGACCTCACTCAACTATGGACACTGTATTTATCCTATCTGTAACTGGGACATATCACACTAAATTCTACCATGGTTGACAGGCGGTGGTGGAGCATGCCTTTAATCCCAGCACTCGGGAGGCAGAGCCAGGTGGATCTCTGTGAGTTCGAGGCCAGTCTGGACTACCAAGTGAGTTCCAGGAAAGGCGCAAAGCTACACAGAGAAACACTGTATCAAAAAACCAAAATAAATAAATAAATAAATAAATATATAAATAAATTCTACCATGGTCAATTGAGATCCTGAAGCCTAGGTGCAATGTTGCACCCTTTCTAAACCCATGATATAGAATATGGAATGCAGAATCCACTGTTTTGTTTAAATAGTAAGGAGTGTAACGTCAGTGTGTACATCCAATGTTCCAAACACATAAACTCAAATACTTTGTGCAATTATTTTGACAATATTTCACAGTGACTAAGTAAATAATCAGAAATAGAATTATTATGTAAATTTTTATAAAAGTTTACTCAACAGAACAGATAATAGCAATTTCATGAATTCTATATGGTGTTTAACAAAAGGACAGTTAGAAATATGTGTAAAAATGGAATGTGTGTGACAATTAATCCAGATCAGGAAGCAACATTTTGTGACTGAAACATATATATTAGGCTTTGTGAGAATCATACTAATTCTTCATTAATGTTGGATACAATACTACTCATGAGATTGGCTCAAATGAAAACTCAAATCTTTTCATTCCAACTTTATTATTTTCTTCAGTAATTGAGCTCTCTCATCAACTAGGATTTTATATTACATAGTTAAGTGTCATTTATAATTCTTCATTTCTCAAAAACTAAAAGATGCAAGGTTCTACACTATCTGTCTCACAAATATACAACAGGAATGTAAACCTTGACATTAGAGAAATGGCTCAGAGGTATAGTATCTTGCTGTTCCTGAAAAGAAATATAATTTAACTTTCTCTACATACATGGCAGCTCATTACAGTGTGTAACTCCAGTGTCAGATTTGTTGCAGGTGAATAATGCATCATGCTGTGTGCATAGAAGTATGGAGAACACTCATATACTTAAATGTTATTTGTAAAAGGAGAAGTAGAAACCTGTCCATCCCCACAACACTTTAGAATCTGTCCATATGTAATACATGGCCTCAGGGGGAGAAAAAACAGGGTGGGAGCAGCCTTATACCTCCAAAAGCAAAGAAGAGTAAAGGGTTTAAGTGGGACATTTGTTTATGCTTCAAAATTGATGACTTATGCACAACACCAATTCAATTCTCTCCAGAAAATTCTTAGTAATATATCCTACATGGTGCAATACAAAGGTGGAGACACTAGTACTTACACCCTTCTGAAAAATAAAGAACAAAAAAAAATAATAATAATCATCTGCCTATTGACAACTTACAACTGAGTATTAAGAATCTCAATGTTCGAGGCCAGCCTGGTCTACAGAGAGATCCAGGACAGGCACCAAAACTACCCAGAGAAACCCTGTCTCGAAAAACAAAAAGAAAAAAAAAAAGAATATTATCAGGACTTCACAGATGAGTAGATTTCCAATAGTAACACGCCCATTATCACTGTGTAATATTACATGTCAAAAGGAGAAACAAGTATACTTCAATTTGCATGTGAACACAAACACTTTAATTTTATGGAAAAAGCCAGCAACTTATTCCTTCCATCATCCATACTATCTAGGGTGCTGATATATTTACTACTGGGATTCAAGACAGTGAATCTTCACAAATTCTACTTTTCCATAAATGGTTCAGTGATGTCATCAAAAAAGTCCATGTATTTGCATGTCCACATTCATAAGCCTGGTTCTGGAAACCTGACGTGGTACATGAGAACTTCCTTACTCATTAATATAAAAGAACGCAGTCCATCCTATGTAGACACTGGCCATCAATATATTCTTTGAGTACCATTTGCAATATATTCTCTTTCAGAATGACAGGTCTTCAGTCTATGAAAATTTATATCCTCAAAGTAAAACATGGAATGAAAATATAAGGAGAAAGGGCTGTGCTACGTATGTGAAAGATCTACAGACTTACTCTTGATTACCAGAGAAGAAAAAGAAGATAAATCATAGAAAACAGTCACTTTTGATAACATTACCAGAGGTAGAGAATTCAAGTCTTAAACGGTCTCAATAATAAAAACAAATTTCAAAAAATATAAGCATGGCACTGACCTCGGGAGCATTTACCAGAGAAGCATTCATTGTTCTTGTTGGTCTTCTCTGAGTTCCTGTCCCTGGACCAAAAACTGGAATTCTTGTTGAAATTTCACATCAAGGTATCAAAAATACAAAGTTAAAATTAATACAACACTGTTATGAACAGTGCCAAACCACATAAAAGAACCCAAAATCAAAATGATATCAGCAATCTTTTCAACATTTCTATCGACAAGAAAACACAGAAGGATATATTTAGAGTGGAGAAAGAAAATGACTGTGAACTTTGTCATTGCACCCAAAAACATCAGCTCCTAAAATTAATGGAAAAGCAAGAGCACATGAAGAAATTGATGAAATAACAAAGGTCATCCACTCAAGGTGCACTGCAGATCATAATTAGAAGCAAATTACACATACAAATAGCAGAATGAAATTAGTCATCATGACATAGCCAATAAAGCATTTTACACAAGAAATTGACAAATAGGAGAGCTGTAGAGTACTAGACTATGTCCACCACACAGAACCAGCAAACTACTGTTTCTACCTAAAGGATTAAATTAATATGGGAAATGTTACCAACAACAAAGAGAGAGAGAGAGAGA